AGAAGGAATGTGAGCATGGCAAATGTCTCAGAAGGGACCCTCCCTAGTTTCTTGGACTATAAAGGCAAGGTGGGGAGGGGAGAGATGTACTTCCAGACTTGTAAGATTCTATTAATGTAAAGTTAGAGCTAGTAATTCTGGGTGGGCTTCTTGTCTGGACTACCACTCAATGCTAACAGCTAGGTACAGCATATATATGATTTTTGTTTATGCTATTTATCTACCATCTGAAACCTACAATATAAACACAGTAAAAATAGTATTTAAAATTAACTAATTAATAAACTTGATAATTGAGTTCTCCAAATAATTTACTGAAATAATAGCTATAAATGAATTTGGTATTTGATATGGTGCCACCAGTTATAATTAATCCCCAAAGGGCTCCAAGAAGAGCCAAGTTTTCATTTGCTTCCAGAAGGTCATAAGGGTAGGAACCATCCTTGCTTCAGGGAGCAAACTATTCCAAAGAGAACACCTGCCATTTGGCTCCCTCCCATCATACCTTGTGTTAGGAGGGGACCCTTAGCAGGCATTCCCTGATCAGTTTTGCTAGGATGGGAAGAAACTTTTGAGGAAAGACAGACTCTGAAATATCCAGGCCCTGAGCCACATAGACTTTACAGGTAGCAACCAGCCCTTTGAATTGCACTCAGAATTGCACTGCTGTAGTAACCAGTGCAGTACAGCAGCGGTGTGATGTGGCAGTACTGTAACTGATCACTAAGAATATGAGTTTTTGCATTTCTGGATCAGCCAAAGTTTCCGGATGGTCTTCAAGGGCAGCCTCATGTACAGCAAATTACAGTAATCTAATTTAGAGATGACAAAGGCATGAACAACCATCTTTAGTGCATCCACTTCCAGGTAAGACCACAAATGGCTCACCAACAAAAGCTGTGCAAAAGACCAGCCACAGTCCCTACCTGCCCTTTGAGCTGGAGCCATGAGTCTAAGAGGACACCAGATTGTAGGCCAGTTCTTTCTGGAGAAGCAGAACCCCATCGAGAGACGAAGATGGAGCATTCCTGGAATCAGTCAGCCTCTGGTATTCACATTAGTTTTACACACTTAAAAAGTGGAAAACTTGCTATCATATTTAGCAATTATGGATGGAATAGCTTCAGGTCCTGCAGAAAGAGGCCCTGGGACCTCAGGTTGCCTATCCCCAATTTAAAGCCCTGCTTGCATATACAGTTGCAAGAAAAAGTATGTGAACCTTTTGGAATTAT